TCGCTTCCTCCCAACCAAACTATTTACAGTTTACTATCTCTTGTTTCCTTTTGGTTTTGTGGGGACTGAGAGGGTCCCTTTTTTCTTGAATTAATGATGTATTTTACCTAAATAAATTCTCAGTAGTTCTCTTTTCCATGTGTATTTAATCCAACATATCCATCAATGCCTCAGATGGATTCAAAACAATCCACACCTTTGCACCAACCAATTCATAATGAAGATTAAAAACGGTGGGAAAAATGGATTTTTTTTAAATCAAAGCAGAACCTTCGCATTGCACCAAGTGAAAAGGATTTTAAAATAATTTACTGAACATTTTAAACATTTATAGCATTAGGTTTTATAACAAAAGGTTTTAGCAAGGATAGAAAACAGCTCAATGTTGTTATTCTTTTTTGCAGAAAATGAAATCTCAATTGGACTTAGTGTAGTACCAACCCTCAGAAATCCGAGGGCTGAATTCTTGATTCACAGCAGAATATTTTAGCCAAATATACTGTCAACCTCCAACAGATAAAAGATTCTGTCAAATGAGCATCTCAGTCCTTCTCCCAGGCACTCTTAGTGTGGTTCACACAATGTAACATTCTTACCTTTAGGAACTTATACAGAAGGAATGTGAACCAGTTGGTCAGCATTTTTTCAGCTACCGACTCAGTCCTGTAAGAAAAATAGAAAGTAAATATGATGACAGGAAAATTCAGAATTCTCCAATCCCTTGGAGTCTTAAAACTTTTAGTTATTTATCTTAAAGACTTAAACAGTCAAAGTTTGAAAGGCAATAATTTTAAAACAAAAATACTGAGGTTATTATAGAACATTAAAAGATAGTCTTAATTAGCCAATTGCAGTTTGGCTCCTTCAGTCCATTCCAGTGAAACAGGATCCTTTCTCTATAAGCTACATAGTATTTGGAATAAAAAAGTTCCAGTCTACCATCATCAAATCTTCCAGAGTAATATAGGGTACCTGAGAGAATCCACAGAATGTTGTAATTCAGAACACAATTTATGCATCTTCTCATCAATTCATTAGAAACAGAAAGCAGAGATGAAGGAAGTCACATTTACAAGTTTTCTATAAATTCTACACACTTACACCCAGTTAACAATTGTAGTAAAAAGTAGTTAGCTGCAGAATTCAGACAAATCCTGAACAAATTTAAAACTCTTTTGTAAAGCAGTAAAATATTTCTGTTGGAAAAGCCACAAATAAGGTTATTAATGTTAATGTGATAAACAAGATAGCAGCCATGTACATTAAGTATCATATGGTGGTCTGCCCAATGGTCACTAAGAGGAACCTTCCACCTAGAATACAACACTAATCACAGAGAGCAAAGTATAAGTATGAAATAGTAATGAAGAATGGGTAGATTGTTCCAGTTCTCAAAACCCATCTTTGTTTCTTAGAACCCCAGACAGGAACAG